TTTGCGTGCAAAAATAAAGTCTTGGATATATATATTTCTTTCTTTCTTTCTTTCTTTTTGAATGGTGGATTGCAAAAGAGAGAGACATTCCTCTTTTATTTATTTAGGTTTAAATTTCTATCTTAAGAGGTAATTTAATAGTTAAGAACTTCAAATCTTAAGTTAAAAATCTCAAAATTAAATTTTAAATTTGGTGAAGAGAGATTTAAAAAAAATTAATCTCCTTTAATATAATTAATCAAATATACCAAAAAAATTTACATTAAAACTTCTTTTGAGATTTTGAATTTTTGAGATTTTGAATTTTTGAACAGAAACCTTTTTTCCAAAGTAAAAAAAAAAAATTTCCTCAAAATTAAAATTTTAACCTCTTTTTATCCTTTCATAAATTAAGTCTCCACATAGACTACTAAAAAAATAAAATACCATCCTTTTGCTCCTAAAGTTATGTGGATACTCCACATCAATTAAAAATGCATGATTTTTAAAATAAAAAATTTACAAAAAAAATTTGAAAGAATGAATCATCAAGCTATTTCACCTCTGCAAGAAAATAATAATAATAATAATGAGCAATAACTATAGAAAGAAATTAATGAAAAATCTAAAGAGCCTTAACCAATAGATACCCAGGTTTGATCCTGGCCTAATCAATTAAACCTGACATTTCTATTCACCAAGAAAGGAAGATAACATGATGTCAAATACTAAATTAAAAGATAGGTAAAAGAAGTAGACAAAGATGCAACTACCACCAGTCATCACTCCTAAACTGATAAAACTCAGTTGTCAGATTTGTGTTTATCCTGGTCATTACTCAAATTATTCTGTACTAAAATGTTTAGTAATAACCAGTACTAGCAGATAACTTTGTTACAAAAGTCATCAAATATAATCTATAATTCTATATGCATAGACATTGGATTACAAATTTTATAAGGCAAAAGGGAAATTGAGCCTCTAGCTTTCATGAATTGTTCAATTCAATAGTCCAATTTTAATTTTGCTCAATTGAACACTTGAGCATTTATTTCCCGTTCAATTTAACATGTTACATAACGGAACTGTAATGGATTTGGTGCCATTGAAACATAACACATAAATAGAAAATTAAGCTAAAGTAGCAGGATGATATTATAGTAAATTGGACATCTAAAATGATTTTAGAGTTTATCTACTTTTTGCCATGGTAGCCAAAACTCAAGTCATTTTGACCATTTGTTGCCAGTTTAGCATTATATTATGGATTTATATGGCCAAAGTACATTTTTCCTCAATTTTACAAAAACATAAGGAAAAAAGAACATTAAGTTGAAGACTGGATAAAATTAAAGTTGAAGCTAATCATGCAGCCTATGAGAGTTTGATGATAAAAAATTTGCCACATTGTCATTATCTAACTTCAAAATTTGTTTAACTCTCAAAGAATTACTATAAAATACTATAAATTGAAGTTTAAAAAAAAAATGAAAGAAAGAAAGAAAAACACAACCTTATAGTCTTGGCCAACAGATCCATAAAATAAACATAGGTTTCATGCAGAGCAGTCTGCCTTGCACTTAAAACACGGTTGTAAGCCCTTTCCATGAAGGATTGCTCCAACTCCACTACATGTTTGATGCAAGGATTCTCCAAAGCAGAGGGAGGTAGCAGTTCCAATTCTATGTGAAATTCTGCAATTCTATTTTGGACAAGAAGTCTCAAAAGGTTAACACACAAGATGGGGTACTCCTAAGGAGATGGTGGGAGACAACTGTTACTCCATCATAAGAATTAGGAAAATCATCAGCATCATTTATTGATAAAAAAAATTAAAAGATTTCACATAAGATTATCATTAGAACTTAATAGCAACAATTTATAAAAAGTTAAGAATCAGCTTTGTCCTTAAATAACATTTAGAAACTAGTCAGTTATACTAGACCAAAAGATGCCATAACATTGCCCTCAATTTCTTAATCAATTAAAAGTCTTACAATGTTAGGTAAAAGAAGTGTTAAATATGTTAAATGCTAATTTATCAATTAAACTTGCATCAGAAATCATAATACCTTTCTATAAAGGATAGGCACAATGAGAGAGACTAAGGACAATAAACAAAATGCTAGGATTGGTTAAAGGCAAAATTTGATTCGAGTATGACATATCCTTGGACAATCTTCCATTTGGAAAGACAACTTCAAAAGTAATCTTAATTAATCTACAATAAGTCGCAAGGAACAAGAAGCCATGGAAGACCTATTTACAATATTTAAGATTCTCAAGTAATTATCATCATTATTCAAGAGTAATTTTAGCTTATAATTAGTTTTGCTAGTTTTATTAGGATTAGATTGTTTAAGAGTGTTTTAGGAGTCATGTTACCATGTTAGTGTTTCTAGTTATTGCGTTTAAGCAAGGTAGGCATTGGGAATATCTATGATCTTCTTTGCCTTTAATTTGGTTGTCAAACATTTCAGTTTGATAAACACAAATCATCTACAATCAAATCCTATCCTAAAGTATAATTTAACCATTCTGATGCATCAATGTTTAATTGTTGCTGTGATCCTTCTAGATCTATTTCATGCATCTTAAACTTCATCTTTTACTTTATATAATAAAATTGCCACCCTTTTCAATTTGCAACTAAGTAAGACAGCTAGGATGCCATAACTATTTTAGAGAATTACTTACCTAGCATCTATATAATAGGGCTTCAACTGAAAGAAATCTCTCTCAAAGGCATCTTGATCCTCAATCTTCACACTACAACGACATGCTCATAAATTTCTCTTGAAAATTATCAGAAAGAAATGGAAAAATATCATTGGAAAAGAATCCTTAACAACATAGAACTGAAATCAACTTCCAAAAGATCCACTCTCTTCATAAGCAAAATAAACAAAATACCACTGACTTCATGCGATTTAGACACCAAAAAAAGGTTTAGGCAGGCTCATTAAGTTCTTAAAATTTCATGCTTTCCAACTTCCTAAATCACATCATTTTACCATGTTATAATTAGTTTTAGTACTTTATAATTCAATTCATAAGTGACAACATAAGCAAAATAAACAAGATAACACTGCCTTCACATGATTTAGACACCAAAAAAAGGCTTAAGCTCACAAAGTTCTTAAAATTTCATGTTTTCCAACTTCCTAAATCACATCATTTTACCATGTTAGAATTAGTTTCAATACTTTATAATCCAATTCATAAGTAACAACGTAAGCAAAATAAATAAAATACCATTGACTTTGCGTTACTTAGACACCAAAAAAAAAGGTTTAAGCTCACAAAGTTCTTAAAATTTCATGCTTTCAACTTCCTAAGTCACATCGTTTTACCATGTTAGAATTAGTTTCAGTACTTTATAATCCAATTCATAAGTGACAAGATAACTTGTTCACAAAATGTAATATATTCTTAAAGTGAATATGAACAGATACAACATTGCAATATCCAAGGCAAAGGAAAAATGTTATTAGTGTTGAGAAACAATTCTTGCGAGTATCAGTTCTTGGACAGCATTAGGGGTATTTTCAAACAAAGGTGGAAGGCTTTTGAACTTGGTCAGTAATACCTGCAAGATGAAACAATAAAAATTATATGTTCTGCATTTTGAAATCAAAATTTAAACTAACTAGAATAATAAACAGACAAAGGAAATACAACAAAAATAATTAAAAGTCAAATTCTACTCCCTTCTTGCATCCAGTTATCCACCAAAGGCAAAAAGCCCAAATCTATCCAACTTCAAAGTAACACAAATTTTGAAGACTTTGTGCAGAAAACAATACTTATTTATGCTAACTCATAGATATTTAGGTTTCTGGCTTTAGTCTCCAAGATTATTTATATTTTGATCTCGAGAGTTAACACATCACTTGCTAGCAACAATTTCAACATTAACAGTAGCAATTTCAACAACCTCTTCCTAATTTAACACCATGAAAATCAAGCAATCAAAAGGTAAGTTCCATTCATTATTCCCTCCAAAGATGACAAACAACACAAAACTTTGAAAATCAATCGTAGTTAATGCTGTGATGCCGATTCGAAACTAAATCAAAGAAAGAGATAATTAGGGTTTTGAAGAGTTCGAGTTGTACCTTGAGTTGAGAAAGGAGATTGATGCAGAAATCGTAATCCTTCCTGATGAAGGCTGCTTTGAATTGCTCAAAAAGATGAGAGACCTCAATTAGCTGTGGATCCATTCTACTTTGCTGAAGCACGGATTTTCTTCTTCCCCATTGCAAACTAAAGATGCTTCCTTTCTATGATTTTCTTCTTCCTGATTTAAAGCCCTACTAGGCCGAAAGTAGATCTTTTAATTATTCACTTTATTCTTTTGTCAAATTTAATAAATTGCCTATTTACAGTGTTTAAATCTAAAATAAACATCGAATTATAATAATTAAATATATAAAATATAATATAAATTTTATTATGTAGTTATTATGTGATCCAA